CGTTGGGAGCCTGCACAACCTCTTGAAGAAAACTAGTATAGAAGAAACCATGATAACATCACCTTTGACTTCTAAGTTTCTTGTATATCCAGCAAGAATGCACTTTCGAGTCAGATTTTTGTTGTTTGCACCCAACCAGTTTCTCTACTTTTTGAATCCTCGGATCAGTAAAAAGCGAAGTTGCTATTTCGTTTTGACGACAATACGAAAGCTACTGCATTCTTTACAAATATTATATATCCTCTGTTTTCAGCTACGTTTGTCTGTGATCTTCGTGTAAGTTATGATTCAGTCCAAGCTTATTAGCTTTGCAATATTCATTGCATACAGAGATGTCACCTCAATACATTGACACGCAATCCGCCTTGACATGTTTTCTTGACAAGAAAGCTGCAACTGCGGATGACACAAACAAGAAGACTAACAAGAATCCGTCGAAGAAGCATTGAAAGAGATACATATGACCGGCTGAGAGTAATTCCCAGAGTGAAGTGAGTAGATAATATCCCTGTTCCAGTTTGTCTGTTAGAAGAATATACTTGCGGATTCATCCAATCGTCGACCATACTACGATCAATTTTTAACGTCATCTCTTCACGATCTTCAAACTCTGTATCATGTGAATATGAATTCGTCTCGACACTTTTGGCTCAAACAATTGACGACCTTTTGTCTGTAACGCCGCATCGTGTACCAATTCTTTTCAGCTACTATTTGCTCAAGTGTTGGAGGTTTTTATTGGGCACAGTGGATGATGTATCATTATAGCAGAACTGATAGTAACGCTACTCTACGGCCTTTAAAAAAGCCACAGTTGACATTAAGATACATGCTTGTTGCTGATTGCTTTCTATATGACAGAGCACGGAAAACACACCAGAAGTGTTGAAGACGCCCGGATATTTTATTCGACCCACCAGTCCAAGCTCTATCACCTTTCGTCTAGCTAAACACAGAGCAACGTTTGAATATAGAATTTGTACGAAGCCATGGCCAATCACAGACTAAAATATGACAGGCAGCAAAATGACAAAGACATCCCTCCGCATGCAGTAAGAAAATACCGATTAGAAAGAAAACAAGGCTCAGTTTGGTAACCCTACGTCGTGTTCAATGGAGTTCATTCACCTTCATAACATCGACACGGTTATTGGAAATTTTTTATGAGTGTACAAAAAAAACTGGCTTTTACATAATTTTGCCAGGAGTCCACCGTAGGCTTCAGATTGACAGGCATTTGTTCTTCTTCCAAAATATCTTTCTTTGTTTCTTGCAGAAGCCAATATTTGCGTTCACTATGTGCTGTGCGTGCGTTGGCCAATTTATATATGATTCCCATCTTTCTCAATCGGTTTTCAAATGAAAATCTGCCTTAGACATTCTCTCTGGCAATAGTTGGAATGGGTTCTAGTTCAGTACAGCCGATAAAAAGGATGGAACCAAACTGCAATAACGAGTAAAAGGTGGTCACCATTCTGTTACCGGTTACAAATCCAACTGATAACTTCTTTGGCCCTTAAGATGGAATATATCTAAAATTTTTCGTTTCGTGGGCTTTCTTACACTGTCTATCGACGAACTGTAAGTTAGAAGAATTTCAAAATAAGACTAAAAATGGATGGATACATGGATTTGTCAGATACTGGAATGAAAATGGTGGTGAAGTTTGTAGACGTGCGTTCATACGGTAGTTCTGAAAATCTTTGCAAATCCTCTATATATGCCGCTCTTTCCTAAATGACTTGTCCCAAACTATACTAATCGTATTGTGCATAAATGAACGCGAAGACCCTCTAGGTCTTCGATGATAATGAAGATCAGTTATTCAGCATAAGGCAACATTTCTCGAATCTATTTTGAAATTTTCCTCCATTGCTTTGTTCTCCTTAAATATGACCTAAGGTCCTATAGTCATATAGTATAGGATGTAATAGAGGATATCTATAAATCGCTTTGAGTGGCCTGTAAGCTCTGTGGAGGCAGTTTCAACGATGTCAATATGTACCTTGTTGTATCTTCTTCAGACTTTTGATGTAGTCCCAAACAGCCTGTTCCTCCGTGACAGTCACGGACATTTCCCTATAAATGGTGCGTCATCATGACGTCATCGCTTCTCCAAAGTGCTGTGGAGTGGTTACCACACAGCAAAAGTCGGAGAGTTTCTGTATTGTGCGTATATGACTCGAATGATCTAGTATGTGAAAGAAAATATCATAATAGCTTGACTATGAAAATGCCAGATTGGATCTTCAACCTGACATTATTTTTTTAAGAGCGCATTATGTCTAATAAAAGAAACCAGGATTAGAAAAAGGCAAGGTAAGACATGACAAGAATTAGTTAATTTTGTCTAGTACGTTAGTACACAACACAGTCTGTTACTCGAAACGCTCAAGTCAGCCGTAAATGGTTGTCAGAAGCTCATATACGATGAATGAAATACATGGCCACCAACCAACCAACCAAACTTCATCTCAGGCCATGCATATCGCAGCTGTTGAACTGAGTGCATTAGAATCTAGCAATGATAGAAATGGAAAAGAAGAACGACGCACTTCGTTACCAAGAGCTGCTGCGCAAGTTGGAGGTAAAGTATACTGATATATAGCATGAGTATCACAGCCAGCGGAGTCAAGTAGTCTTTATAAAAGCAGAAAATCTCGCTGGAAAGCAGTGTGTCGAAAAGGTAACGGAGGAATTATTTGTCTGATAACTCGAAACCATGGACATGTTTTCAGAGCAAAGCTTAATATTTCAATAATCCTTATAAGACACGGTTCTTGTATCCTAGCCGGTCAAAACCGGAAGTCATTTCTGAATTAAGAGAGTTCGTATAACGAATGATAGCCTGGTCAGCAGATAGAACAAGAAAGCTTTCAAAGAAAGGACAGTCCACAGTCCAGACAGGTACATACTATATTGGTAAGCGATCGTGCAAAACGGTGACGATTCCTCTCTGCACATAGCACGTCGAAAGTTGAAATTTGATTCCTTCCGAGATTACTGTTTAGACCAACAGAATACCTGTCTTGTCAACAGCCAATTGTGTGTATAAGGGGTCGCGACCGGCCTATTCGTGTTTTCTGGAGTGTTATAGATCAGACAACTTATCCTGGTGTCTCTATGTTATTCACGAAACGCCGGAATGCTCAATATCTTGACTTCGATAAGAAGCACTTAATTTGCCCAATAATCTCAAAAGATAAATAAAATAGCTACAAAGGGTCTTTTTGGGCTTAAACTCATTAAAAAAATGGGACCTTATAGACCTACAATAATATCTACGTTTACTTAATACGAAATATTCAATTGTCTGATTCATATCAAAGAAAATTGCATCCAAGATTGAGAAAAAAATCATAAATGTTGAGAATAAAAACTTTTCCAATTGTTATATTTGATGAATATTTTTAAAAATTTTATCACAGCGGATTTTTAATGTTAGGGCAAGAATTAAATATAAAATTGAAAAAAACTCGTCAAATGATTGCATTGCAAATGCAAAATTTAAATGATTACTTACATGTGAAAGCTTTTTCGAATTTAAAAAATATTCAATCCCAAGAGGACTGAAAATAATAAGAAACAAATGGTATAAATGAAACATGTCTACTAGATCAATATTTTTCTATAAAACATTGAATGAAATTGATATTACGTCAAGATACTGTATACATATAAAGATGATACTGCAATTTTTCAAGTAAATTAGTTTAAAAGTCATGAAATTGCAGGAGTTAGAAAAATTTGTTAAAATAAAAGTCAAATTGATTTGCAATAGTTGCAACATAAGAAGCTGTTCACTTAAAGTTGTCATGCTAAAAATGATATTCAAGCACACGAATTTAATGATGTAATCGGATATACGCAAGTGTTGAATCAAACATAGATTGATGATTGTAAGTTATGTTTGGATGAAGGAATACGATAGCTATGTTTGAAAGATAGAGATTGTATAATGTTAGCTTGAGAAAATTTAACGGATCTCTTGATTTTTTTTAAGTGATAAGAAAACCATATAACTTAATTAGATAGAAAATACAATTTGACATGTTAAATACAATACTTTGAGTTTGATCGTCTTAAATTGATAGCATGTTAGTGTTTTGTCATGCTATTACATCCGAACATTCTGTGTTATAACTAAATTAGATTGTAGATTACAAAATGTTCTTCATATCATAAGAATCTTTGATGTGTAGACGTAACACATGAGTGGTATCTTGTATCGTGTGTGTAGTACCAAGGTTACTTCCGATTATGTCACATTGAAATGATGAATGAGCATTATAACTCGATAGTAAGATCAGATCAAGTTGTATACAAATAAATTGTCAAGGATAATGAAATATAATGTTTCAATAATATCACAATGACATATATATATATATATATATATATTAATTAGAACATATGTGATAATTGAACTATCAATGATGATGAAATGTCTATAAAAAATAAAATCAGAGGAAAAATATTTGAATTCATTATTTTATAACACTTACTATTGCTTTTAGTCTGCCAATTAGAACACTTATATGATCATAGTCCAAGCTATGGAATAAAGAAATAGATACCTTCCATATCTAGTGTGGTAATCTCAACTGCATTCTATTACATGTATGAAAGTGTACATCGTCCCAATTTGCTCCAATAGTGGGCTAAGAAAGACTTGTCTTCATCTGCACCGCTCCCTACGTCCGAAGAAGATGTGCAATGGAAAATATCACGAATAGAATACTAACCACCCCAAGTCTGCAATAGCAACGTCTCGCTCTGCAAGAATAAAATAAAGAGTATTATTTGCCTTCATACGAACTGCGTAGACTGAATGCGAATCAGAGCAGTTTCCGAGGCCAGGACTAGAATTTCAGTAGAGCATACTTTGCAGCCGCGGTGGGGCCGGGAGCAGCTCTCAGTGGATGAGGTCATGGGGGTGGATGGGCGAGCCAGAGTGCATGTTGCGACACGGGGACTCTGATGGTACGTATTTGCGGATCCCAGTGTGAGAGGGCTAGAAGGTGGCGGAACTGATCTGATGAGCAGTAGCGTCCTTGCCTTTATTCTGGAGGTATGCATGGGCATTGGCATGGTGAGACAGGTGGAGAGAAGGTCTGCTTTTCGCAGAGCCATGGTGCGCGTTTTCAGAGCCGAGCTTGCTGACATCTTCGTTCTCGACCGCTTTCTCCGTGCCGCTGCCTGAAATTGCGTGTCATGTCTTTTCAGCATACTGTAGTTGCTTCAGGGCAAAGCGCGGTGTGCGGAGAGCCGGAGTGAGAGGCGGGAGCCAATCAGAGAACACAGGCTCTGTGTTGAGAACTTGAGCTGCACTGCGTGAACGAGAAGAGAGTAGCGGTAATATCGTCTGCATGCAGTCCTGCGTCTGCCTCTTTCCAGGATCGTCATAGATCCAGGGAGCGAAGTCCTTCGAGCTGACTGCTCCGTCCCTGTGTCCGCACGTATTCTGTGCCCCTTGTTGTGTCTCTGAACCCCTAGTGTACTTTGGCTTGACACCCGACATTCCATTTCAGACACATTTTGCTTCATTGTATTCGAGAACCTCGTCAACGATGCCGGTGCACACGTCTCCCTCTTCGTCCTGTTGATCGTTCTGGTCATGTGACACCAGCTCATTTGACGAATATGTGTCTTGCACCGCCCTTACATTCCTGAACCTTTCCAGATTGCTGGAGAGTTTCTTGTCTTGTGTCCATGAACGTGAGCTTTTCTTCGTAGACTTACTCTCGTGGTATACTGTCAAAGGAGTTGGCCGCCACTTTGCATACCTCTCATTGCATTTGCTCCTTTCAATCTTCGGGTGTCAATCTGCAAGATGGAGACCTTTCTAGCGCTTGTCGGTTAAGCTTCAGCACTGCAAGCCTCCAACAGCTCCTTGACAGTATGACAAACTGCAAGCAAACAGAGATTCTGATTTAAAATACGGCATTCTGCGTGCCTTCCTGTAAACGTTCCATGTGTTTTTCTCCTCATAGTAAACCTGTGTCACAGAAATGGCCGAGATAATTTGTTTGTCTCAGTGATGCTCTTTACGAAGAAATCTTCAGGCAATTTTGCTCTCTTGCTGAGCATACAGGTTCTGCTTCCATTGGTAATGCACTGCATTCCAATGAAGCTGGGCCTCTTTCTCTTTCGCTGCTGAGCACTTCTGGGTTCTTCAAATATTCAGTCCAGCCGCCAAAATTTTTCTAAGTCGGGAATGCAATTTGGAGCTGGCCTGAAGGACGGACAAATGAGCAGGTACAGCGAAAACCATGATAGCCGTGGCGAGAGGCCTCGAAAAGAGCCCTCTGACAATGGAGGCTCTTTCCTTGGTATGGGACAACAGGTATATCCAGGGCATCCGAATTCCCAACAGCCTCCTAAGTTCGACGAGGCGATAGAGATGGTCAGATCGCAGCAGGAAAAAGACGTGGATCGCGGTGTTGACAGTGCCGAGAACAATGAAGCTGAGAAGAAGAAGAAAGAAAAGAAGCCGAGCGTGTCGTACTACAAGCTTTATTCTTTCTCTGATCCTTTTGACTGGCTGCTAATTTTTTTGGGTACGGGCGGAGCCTGCGCGCATGGAGCCGCAATTCCCGTTTTCTTCATATTTTTCGGTAAACTTATCGATGCATTTGGAGTTAACTACAATCGCCCAGACCTCATGGCAGAGGAAGTGAGAAAGGTGCATTCCTGTAGCTGATGCTAATCACTTTGAGGTTATATTGTACATAGCTTTAAATTCAGAATAAATCTTTCTCGATAACCTCAGATTGGAGAACTTAGCTCGTACCGCTCTAGCAAGACGAAGATCACTTGTTTCCAAGCGTTTCATTTCCAACGCCACAGCTAGAATTAGCGTGGACGGTGTACGGGTATTCTTGATGCACCAGCTTGTATCCACAGTCGGGCCCGAGAGTTTCTTCAAGTGAAGCTTCTGAAAGTTCTATCCTGAAGATATGCATTTCTGCGTTGTAAATCCTCTAAAACTGTAATTCGAGTTACCTCCAGTCCAGTAATAACGATCATGCTTCGCTAGAAAAATAGCCCATTCAGCCTTAAGAAGCGGAAGAATTGAGAAAATTGTGAATTATCCTCCCTGTGTCATGTTGCCACTTGAGTCAGAGTCGAGCTATTTCAGTTTAAACTGGGGAGGTTTCTCCCGGCGTCACGAGCGTTTTCGTTTGCCCACTCCCTTGTCCTCCATCGGTCGTCTCTCTGGACACACAATTTATGGGCTGAGTGGTGAACTTTTTCAAAACAAGAGTGTTGCCCCTAGCACTAAAAGCAGGTTCTGTACACGCTCTCTCACTCCCAAGTGCTCTTCTTTTGGTACACAATACTTGCCTACATTTACAATTGTGCCGTCTGCTGTGCAGTATTCCCTGTACTTCGTCATACTTGGAGGCGTTGTCATGATTGCCGCTTGGCTCGGTAAGCACTCAATTATTACCTGCATGCACATTTTCGCCTTCTCCAAGCGTGAAGAGTAGGTCCGCTCTTTCCAGTAAATTTGCTGGTTTTGTGGCTTCTAGCGGAGTACGTCTAAGATTTGTACAGAATCTTTAAATCTAAACATGTTCCTCACTTACTTATGTTCCCTCCCTGTTTCATCATACAAATGCACGAGTTTGGACATTGTTCTTTTGCACACTGGCTTCAAGCTGTTTTTTCGTTAAACAACGGGATGGGAGTCCCTAGGAGCTGGTCCAGTCTTTGCGAAGTTGGAACTGTTTCTTGACTTTTTCGTCGTATCGGTTTTTGTACCACCGTGCAGAGGTCGCCTGCTGGATGTGGACAGGTGAAAGACAGTCCGCTAAAATGAGGGCAAAGTATCTGAAGGCAATGCTTAGTCAGGACGTGGGTTTTTTCGATACAGATATCACCACCGGTGAAATTGTTAGCAGAATCTCGAGTGATACCATTCTGGTTCAGGAAGCCATCAGTGAAAAGGTTTGTTACGAATTTAAACCATTGTTTTGGTCTTATGCTTACTACTTGAATTTACCTTAGTTCTGCAGACGGCGAACTCCACCCTTCGTTAAATTGCCACCCATTTCTTTGATATTTGTTACTGCTTACGTAGTGCCGAAACGCCAAATGAATTGATAAACTGCAACCAACAGTTACCGAAGTATTTCTGGTTTGGTCCCCGGCTCCTAGAATCACTTTCTTCCAAGGTATGTGATTTCTTACAGTATTCGGTTGACTAAACTCTTATTTGCAGGCTGGAAACTACGTACACTACATGGCTAGGTTTGTCGCAGGATTTGCAGTGGGATTCACCTCTGTGTGGCAGCTCACACTGGTCACACTAGCAGTTGTACCTCTCATTGCCGTGGCAGGAGGAGCCTATGCTGTGACAATGATCGGACTAACCAGCAAAAGTCAAAAGGCCTACGCTAAAGCTGGAGAAATAGCAGAGCAGGTAACTCTCTGTCTTGATCCAATATATGGAACGTTTCCATCATTGCAAGGTGAATACGTTGAAGCAGCAAAACAAGTGTGCAAACAGTGAAGTGCAAAGCTGTCGCTCTTCAATGAAATATGGATCTGCTCAAAGATGAAGAAATTAATAGTATCGAGGGCAGAACTGTTGGACACTTTCATCTAGCTGCTTGCGCCGTTCACAAATTCGGTTACAAGATAGTTGTTAAATTCCCGGAGTCGGTTTCGTCCCTACCCTTTTTAATGCAAAGTCGTACATGAAGAAGCTCCACAAGGTGAAAGTTCAGTACATATCTCAGGCTGATTTTGTACATGCCACTAACTTACAATTCACTTCGATCTTCTCAGGCCATCGCCCAGATTCGGACCGTGTACGCATTTGTAGGAGAGGCGAGGTCGGTCGAATCTTACTCAGAAGCACTTAAAACCACCTTGAAACTTGGGAGAAAGGGAGGGATGGCTAAGGGTCTGGGAGTTGGGTTCACCTATGGATTACTATTTGGAGCCTGGGCTCTTCTCCTGTGGTATGCAAGTTTACTCGTTATGGATGGGAAAACCAACGGGGGCCAAGCATTTACAACCATTCTCAACGTCATTATCAGCGGGATGTAAGTTGCAACCTCAGCAAGTCTACTGTGACGCTGTTCTAGAACAAGAAGGCTTATCAATCAGGGCCAACCAGATTGATATAGTTTCAACATAGTTCACATATTGAAATTAGAAGATATTCCTGTCGCAGAACTTCATTTGGTTATATAACAGGCGTTTGACGAGAATTAGGCAGTGGATTCCTTGTTTTCCTCGGAAAGCAGGTTGTTTCCCGTTTACTCAGTGCTTACAGCTAGAATGTTAACGTGTGTGCTACCCTCTTCGATATTTGATCCTATTATGTAGCAACTAATTACAACTTCTCGAGCTCCGTAGAGGTAGTGCGCCTGTGTTTCTCTTTATTCATCACTAGAACTCGTTACTCTCTACTTACAGTGTTTCCACCGTGTACAGTGCACTTGGCCAGGCTGCGCCTAATCTTACGACGTTTGGAAAGGGAAAGGCTGCGGGCTACAATATTTTGGAGATGATCAAGAGGAAGCCCGCAGTAAATGCCAACTTTTTGGACGGACGAACGTTACCACATGTCGAAGGACAAATAGAACTGCGGGATATTACGTTCAGCTATCCTTCACGTCCTGATCAGATGATCTTTCAGAATTTTAATCTCACTATCCCTGCAGGAGCCACTGTAGCGATTGTGGGTAGCAGTGGGTCTGGGAAGAGCACAGTCATAGCTCTAATTGAGAGGTTCTACGACCCCATATCTGGTAAGAACTAACATAATTGCAGTCGGTTTGTTTATTACTTGTTTAATTCTACACTATTAATTCTACATCAGGCATTGCGTGTAGAAGGGTAAGCAGATGAGGCGTGTCGTTCAAGCGTATGCCTCTTTTTGCTGCTTATCACTTTGATATGTAATCGTTTCTCCAGTTGGGGTTTGTCCTCTTTTCTCACAAGTGTGATTAGAACTGTCAAAACAGTACATCTGCTCATTTTCCTTCCAACGCTGACAGCTCTTGTTTGTACCTTATGAAAGGTAGTATATTTCTCGACGGTGCCGACATCCAGTCCTTACAACTGAAATGGTTAAGAGATCAGCTTGGACTCGTGAACCAAGAACCCGCGTTATTTGCGACAACCATTCTAAATAACATTTTATATGGGAAAGACGGTGCAACCATGCAAGAGGTCGAAGATGCGGCCAAAGCTGCCAATGCTCACTCTTTCATCATGACTTTACCGGAAACTTATGACACCCAGGTTTGTACTTTTTAACAAGTCAAAGGAAATTTCGGGTTCTCACGTCAACGAAATTGATGTTTGTCTCAAGGTTAACACTATTCGAACTAGACTGGTTGAGCTTTTAAATGTTGACGGTCGGTGTGGGCATGCAACCTATGTACTCGTCAATATATATATTCAATCCAGTAATATCCTGTTTGACGCAGGTTGGTGAAAGAGGAGTCCAAATGTCTGGGGGACAAAAGCAGCGTATAGCTATTGCCAGAGCGATGTTGAAGCATCCCTCTATTTTGCTTCTAGATGAAGCAACAAGTGCACTAGATGCAGCATCGGAAGGTGTGGTTCAGGAAGCCTTGGACTCTCTTATGGTCGGCAGAACTACCATCATTGTGGCGCACCGCTTGTCCACCATCCGCAATGCAGACATGATTGCTGTGGTCAGGGAGGGCAAGATTGTTGAAACTGGTACTCACGATGATCTTATAGAGAAGAACGGTGCTTTCGCAATGCTTGTAAAATTGCAGGAGAGAGCGAAGTACCAACCCAATCAGTCGAACAGGCACACCAAGAGTCAAAGTCAGAGTAGTTACGGAGATGGACCTTCTGTGTCTTTCAATTCCAGGTACGTCAGCCAGCGTACTTCCGAGACGATAGGCGAGGAAGTAGGCTTGCTTAACTCCACTTCCTTTTCGATTGACAGTCATTTGTTTGCACTTAGTTATCCGTCCGGTTTCCCTCAAGTAAGGCTTTGAAAGCTCGCACTTGAAAGAGGAGTGTCTAAAGTTTTGTGGATAGGTGCTGATGCCTTCGTCCGGTGGTTTTGCAGACACTCCTCTGGTCGACTCTCGAACCGATGGAGCAATAGGTGGAGCTTTCGGAAAGGACAGAGGAGTGGTAATGACACGGAATCAGATGCCGGCGGTGAGAACGAGTTCGAAGAGCTGACTGCTCCCGAGCACGTTGTGCCAAAGCCATCGTTGTGGCGGCTTTTCAGACTCAACTCCCCAGAGTGGCCATACGCCGTACTTGGGACTCTCGGTGCTATCATGGCTGGTGGAGAAACTCCACTTTTCGCGCTTGCCATCACTCAGATGCTCATCACTTTTTATAATCCTGATCAAGACTTTATCAAGAGTGAAGTACGAAGAATCTGCACAATTTTTAGTGCCGCAACAGTTGTGACGGTTCTTATCTACATTCTGCAGCATTACTACTACGGAATTATGGGAGAGCGCCTAACTATGCGTGTCAGAGAAATGATGTTCAAATGTGAGTCCGCTTGCAGATTTATGTTTATGCTTCTCTTTGGCGGATTATGTACAGTTCACGGCGCACAAAGACGCCAATCGCGAGTGATTCTGGTGGCAAACGAAATTCTGTATTATATTCAAATGTAATATTGGAAGATTCCTAGTTGATGATACTCGTTTGATTCCTGACAAGTGTCTTTGTGTTTATTGTGGCAGCTATCCTTACTTTCGAAATAGGATGGTTCGATTACGATGAAAATAACAGCAGTTTGGTGGCATCTCGACTCGCGTCAGACGCAACCCTGGTCAGAGCTGCAGTCGGTGATCGATTGTCCACGATAGCTCAAAACTTGGCTTTAGTGACCACAGCCTTCGTGATTGCCTTTGTTCTCTGCTGGAAGGTTACGTTTGTCATATTGGCCACATTTCCTTGCCTCATTGGGGCTGCTATTGCAGAGGTGAGTTCGGGACCTGGAGCGGAAGCCTGTCGTCATGTTTGAGTCAGCTATATACTAACAAACTAGCTCAGCTGCAGGATTGAATCTAACTTGGATGTGCATTCCCGCCCCTGAATGATAATTAGAGTTGCTTGTGATAACTCAGAACGGCATTGAGAGTGAGGAGTGGAGTAGTGGCAGTTTTGACAAGCGGAAAGCAGCATGAAGCATCTGCTCACTCTCTTCGTTATCGTTATGTCTTTCATTTGTGAATTTTTTCTAAGAATATGTTGTACTTAGTTAGAGAGTTCTCGATCGAGTTTCAGTCAATAATTCGCTGACAAAACCTCTATTTGTACGCAGCAACTCTTCTTGAAGGGCTTTGGCGCGGATTTGGCCAAGGCCTATGCTCGGGCTAGCATGGTCGCTGGTGAAGCAGTGGGAAACATCCGAACAGTTGCTGCTTTCTGTGCTGAGGAGAAGGTGCTTGAACTCTTCCAATTCGAGTTAGCCCAACCTGCTAAGAAGTCCATTATGCGTGGACAAATCGCTGGATTCGGATATGGATTCTCCCAATTCACCATGTACAGTTCTTACGGTTTAGCCTTCTGGTATGCGTCAAAACTGGTGGCCAGCGGTGAAGCGAAATTCGGGGACATCATGAAAACTTTCATGGTGCTGGTCATTACTGCCTTCGGCGTCGCAGAGACCCTGGCTCTTGCACCGGATATCGTGAAGGGCTCTCACGCCGTTGTCTCAGTATTCCAGGTCCTGGATCGTCAGACTGAAATTGATCCCGAGGATCCGAATGCAGAAGAGGTGGTTCACATTACAGGAGATATAGAGTTGAAGCACGTCGACTTCGCCTATCCTTCCAGACCGGATGTTCAAATTTTTAAGGACTTCCGACTGAAGGTGAAGTCAGGGCAGAGCTTGGCTTTAGTCGGAGCTAGTGGTTCAGGAAAGAGCTCCATAATATCCTTGATAGCCAGATTTTATGACCCTTCAGCAGGAAAGGTGCTTATCGACGGAGTGGACATAAAAAAGCTGCGATTGCGTTCATTACGACGCCACATCGGGCTCGTGCAACAAGAGCCTGCTCTCTTTGCCACTACGATATACGGCAACATACTCTACGGGAAGGATTCGGCAGGCGAAAGCGAGGTGATTGAAGCTTCCAAGTCAGCTAACGCGCACACTTTCATAAGTGGCCTTCCCAGTGGTTACCAAACCGATGTCGGAGAGAGAGGAGTCCAGCTTTCGGGAGGACAAAAACAAAGAGTAGCCATAGCTCGTGCGGTGCTGAAGAACCCGGCTATCTTACTCCTGGACGAGGCTACGAGTGCGTTGGATGCCCAGTCTGAGAAAGTAGTCCAAGATGCTCTGGATAGGCTGATGCGTGGTCGTACGACCGTGATGATTGCTCATAGGTTATCCACCATTAAGAATGCGGACGTGATCGCAGTAGTGGACGGCGGGCACATAGTGGAATTAGGAAACCACGATTACCTGATGAACAAATCTGGCGGTATCTATGCTCAGTTAGTGAATATGCAACAGAATACCGACACCGAGAGGTGACGGAGGTGACTAGGTGGAGAGTCAACAAGAATCTCCAACGGAGCTTTGAAGAATGCTGTCCTTGTGCGGGACGATCGACCACTGAGTATCTCGGGAAGTCACGATGCCCATATCGTTGTTTATCCAGGAAAGTTTGTATCATCTTTTGCAGAGGAGATATGGAAGGAAGCTGCACTCCCCTTTTAAATAACAGATCTAAGACGGACGGACGGGGGTTAGTTAAGGACGCGGAAGACCGGCAATTTTATTGACCAATCATCGAGAAATACGAGGGTCTTCGGAGATGTGGGTTAATGTAGTTCTGTCAAGCTTTCAGCTTTATTGCAGAGAAGTGTGCTTCCATCAAGAGCTCCTCTCTTTGGGTCAGAACTACTTTAACCCACTAGATTTTACACCTCAGTCACATAGCACGTGACCGTTCCAGTGACGAGAAGAAGATGTCGTGTTCCGTCTTTCCTGGATGGTCATTACGAGCTTTACACAGCCAGGCCTGCGGTGATTAGATAGGTTCGATCGAATTGATTGGGCTCCTCGGGCCTGAGTCCTGTACTCGCAAAGAGCTAGAAGCACAGGAATCTTACATTCAAGCCATTGCTATTGTAACAGTCACCACAGTTTGTATATGCCAGTCAACTGGAAATGAATTCTACTCTTAACAACGGGCAGTGTTCTTATGCTGTCATCTCGTCTACTGTGGAATTCTAATTTCTTGTTGAGCTCGTCATCGGCTCCACTTGATCACTGCTGATATCATTTTGCTGTCATATCCATGGCTGTTGCTGGTACGTTATCATTGAAGTTTTCTTCCCGGTGACACCGTGTTAGACCGCGCGAGCCTGGGATTGTGTTTTGTGATCATCCCTCGATTAAGGACTTCGACACTGCCTAGGTTTTACTAAGTCAGAGCTAAATTCATCATGTAGTGAATTCGGAGCCTTCCCCTGAGGGCACGAACAGAGTACCTCGAAATCTGTCACCCTGCTTGCGTCCCGATTGTTTTCGATTACTTGCGTCCCAATTGTTCAGGACCTCCGACTTTAGACACCCGTCATGACCATCTATTTCAACCATCAAAGGGGGAGAGCTGCAAATGTTCGGTCAAGCCGACGTCAGCTTTGCTCATGCTTTCTCTGTCCTTCAATCGGATCTTTCCTCAGGTGCAAAAATTCTGTTGTGAAGGAGGATAATTAGATGCGAAGCAACAACATCACTGTTTCCCAACAGGCACCAGTGGCGGGGAACGGGGGACGTTATGGATATGATCACGATTCTAACCATGATGACATCAGATGCAATATGTGAACGGGATATGAAAAGATCACCGTTGTTCCATGGAGATAGCCTGCTTGTTGTGCCTAGATTCGAAAATTTGGTAGTGGTAGTTGTGAACTGTATCTACTCACTATTTTGTTGCACCGCATATCAGGGTATAACACGACGTGATTCAGACCATCCGATTTCTTTGGAATGTCATGGTATATGGCTCTGTACCCAAAGAGGAGCAGTTGTCCAACATCTGGGTATACTTAAATCAGTCAAGCTTACTTCTCAATGTCAGGTCTGCATATTTAATCGACAATCTTCTGCCTGCTCCATGCCGACGCCCGGATCAGCAAGGAGGTCCCAACATCAGAGAGCTAAGATTCTAGAGCATAATTTTATGTGCTGACTTTGGTTTCTGATGGAATTACGATGAGCAGACGGAACACAACCAGGGCCCTTGGAAACAATCGTGTCGGCATCTGAAACTCATATTATTACAGTTGGCGAACACCTTACCTATCCTCTTGCGTACGGCATACACCGAAGTTCGCCGGGATTGAGAGACAACACTTCAGAGTTTTGTGCCTCCCTCAGTACTGTACACGAAGCGATCGTCCCGGCTGGGTACCGTCTGGCTTGCACTTGCTCCTTGTGGTGCAATAAGTACCTTGTGGCTCGTTCTACTTACGAGGGAGGACATGCAATATTCACTCTCATTGAGCGGGACGACGGAATGATAGAAGATATCGTGCGGTTGTCTGAGAATGGCATCTATGCGACTCAGAGGTTCGGATCCATCGGCTGACAAGTTTCAAAATCCCGAGTCTTCGACCCCTTGACTTGATATTGAATCTCCTTCTGTACAAAGACGGTCAGCTCACTGTCCTTTCCGGCTTTTATAAGATATATTTCAAGCAACCGCTTTCAAAGCGTTGACTTACAATAACCGCAACGGGGAGGGGCGGTGCAGCCTCCTACCAGGATCCATCTTCAGTAGGCCCCAAATTCTGAATAGAATCGCAAGGAGGAATGCCATATCAGCCATGATCTCATACTCCTCGACCTGAGTACGGCAGCGATCTGGTTAGAAAGACCCCGTTGACGTGTTCTCGAGGCCCTACATTCCGCACCCGGTTGGATATACCGTCGTATGAGGTGACCCTGAAGAATTTGGCACGCCCGTGGTTTGCGACGCGTGACTCTCCATCGCGGTAGGGCTTGATGACGCTAACGACAGGAGGCAATCGGACGGGCGACAGAGTCTGTACGTCGCCAGGACGTCGACTGACCTCACTCGTCTTGTCATGTGGAAGACGTTACTCAATCACCGCCAATGGCCTTTCATTGAGCCTTCCGCCGTCCTTCCGGCCGGGTTAGGAGGCTCTCGGCGTAACGGGTCCGTATGTGTTCCGCATGCCTTTTGCTCACTAACCCTTTTTATTCCGCTCTCTGCTCCGATGGAATTATGGGCGTTCTGACGTGACACACGTTCATTATCATGAGCCAATTACCAGGAGAGATTACGACGCCCCACAACCCTCCGTTTTTTTCGGAGAGGTACATGGTGACAGTTGTTATTACTCCGGGGCTCTCTGGCACATCGCGCTTTTGTTAGAGTGGAGCTCCCCATCTTACCGAACTAACCTCACTACACGATAAAAGTAGCTCGCGAACCAATCAGTAATGTACATGTACATTTTAGTTGATCTGACATTAAATACACGAAGGAGTTTTGCTTTTTTGGAAAAGTTTGGCAGCTTTGTTCAGGCTATGTTTGATGTCCATTCACATTCGTCGTTCTCTCCTGCGTATCAGCTCTCAAATCCTAACGAACCCAAGAGGAATTCATGGTAAAAAGCACACGAAGAACACGTCAAGCCCCACCTGGATAAACCCATCAGTGAAATAGGGCTAGGCTCCACTAGATTCTGAATAAGAAATGTGTAGCAATTTACGTCGTAATCATGACTATGTTTTTTCCTTCCTCAATTTATTCAAACATCCATACAACATTAGCTTACGAATTATCTGATTGACTTTTGATAAAATGCAGTAAAAAATAATCTATGTCTAGCAAAGAAAGTAAAAATTGTATACAAATGGATTTGTAATAAGAGGAACATAGTAAGACACTACATCCATTAGTATGATAAGAACCAAATTAGACTGTCAACACCAGAGGCCAACGTCGAATACCCATGGTTTCATGGGAGGTTACTATTTCCTCAATAAACTCTTCATTGTTTTTTATGCTTCTCCTTATGAAAATTAATCATGTCAATAGACAATCGCTTCCGTAAATTATATAACAAATCCATAAAGTAAATCTAACAAAGTCTATTCTTTAAACTATAACTAATTAAAATTAAGTAATCACAAAGACATAATAAAATAAAAATATTTAAAGTACTAATAAATTATACTTGTGTTTTTCATGCAAAACTTGCATAATTTTACAATTTTTATTAAACCTCTTATAAAAATAATTTTAGTCAATGCGTTAGTTGTATAAATTTTATCTTGACTAGTTCAATCTTTTTTATTAGATATTTCATGTCTAATAATGTGATTACAAATGTTGGTATGCTGCACTCTATTGTTCATTATTTTATTTGCAGCAAGATTTGACACATTTTGGCTATCATAGTGAAGATTTACAACTACATAATTCAAATTCATCTCAACGATAACCCAATTCAACCAAATAGCTTTTGCTGACACTACATACTTTACTTTTGTTATAAATAGAGCTATGCATTTTTTCAAAATAGATCTCCAACTAAGACCTTCATCACCATGTGTAAACACTTAGCCAGTTATAGATTTTCTCTTGTCCATAATACGTAAACTAGCAAGGATTTGACATTGTCTAAAAAAATTATAAATCTTTTACCATAATCCAAATATAATAATAAACCTAATCTTTAATACTCTTCATGAATCTTAGAATTCATTTCAGCTCTTTTCAATCCAACTTTTCTAGATTTGACACGTATTTTATCACATTGCTACTTGATATACCTACTTGATATATCAAGTAGTACACAACATATGACAATTTTACCTTTTCAATGACATTGGTTAAAGATTGAGCTACGAGAGATTTGAATTAGGCTATCAACAAAGTTCAAACTCTTTTAGATTCAGCCACGTTAAATCTGTTGAACACAAGTTGAATGTACTTATCTTGATACAAGCATAGCATCTTTTTCATCAAATATTTATGAATATTTAACCCTCATATAATCTTTAATGTATCCAAATATTTGCACCTTGTATTCAATTTAAATCTTAACTTGATCTTTTCCACGTTTGAAAAATGTAAATACCTTAAAATTGTTTGTTAAAAATCAAACCCACATAAACGTTAAGTATCATCAATAAATGATATATAAACATTTCATAACAGACAATTGTTTTTCTCATATTAGATATAAACCTGATTTGCATCAATGTTTGTTGAACTCTATCAAAAGTTTGAATCTTATTAGATTCAATATTCTCAAACCTATTAGGTTTATCATTTTTTATAAGAACTACATATGTTTAAGGCAATATTTAAGCCGATTGATGAAACAATATGGTAAATGCCACAAAAATATCACAAGAGCACTACAAGTAAACAGTCAAAAAATATTCAAGTTTTGATGTTTCACGGGCAATTTGTATAGAATTTGTAGAATCAAGAGTTACACAATATATTCTTATCAAAAAGTTATGATAAAATCATTGTGTGACATAAAGAGTGAATTACATCTTAGAAATCATAAAACAAAATTATTATTTATCTACATTACAAGAGAATGAGAAGTCTTATGTTCAAAGTTATATAGCTTGTTAACAAAATAAGTAAAGAAATGAAAATAAGATACTTTTTACCACCTTTTTGTTTCAAAATAAAAATAAAATTTTTAAGCATGAATATTATATTTGAATTATTAAAAGATTTTTATATATGATTTGAGTGCTACTTATGAACAAATTGAGTAAAATGATTTATGTTAAATTGATAGAAAAAATTATAGCTCCTTAATTTGCTCAATTGTATCTATATGTAATTTTTATGAATCATAAAGTAAGAAAATTTTCAATTTGTTATAGAGTTATTCTTTTCACAAAATTATTTGAAGAAATTTGTTAATTTAAAAAAAAATTTAACTATCAATGTTAAAGAACTATCATTCTTAAATTGAAAGTCAAACTAAAAACTTATAAAGATGTAAAAAACATGAAACTTGCTAACTACATTAGTACTCTAGTTCTTATTAAATTGAAAATTCTTATGCTTAAACTACTTTAAATATAATTGATCAAAGTTTTGAGATATATCATTAAAATTTTTAGTTTTTAGAAAATTATTAATATTGATATAATATAATTATTACCAAATATGAATCCTGATTTTTTTTTGTTATGCCAAC